TACTTAAAAGTAACAAACATTGTAATTTGGAGAAGAAATTTAGTGCTTGTCTGGAAAGTTCCTGACTCCTTTCCCATCCTCCAATGTCTTCAACCATTTTGGCCAACAGGCATACTTGGAACGTTGAGGACTTTTAGTGGGTGTTGAAGCTGCTGTGAAAAGGGTGGCTTTGCTGGTTCACAAAATGGTTGCCATGGTGGCATGGCCAGTCACAAAATAAAATGGGCATTTATTTTTCAGGTGGGCATGGATCCTTGAAGTCACAAAGCACACTGGCATCCCCAAGACCACACTGAAGTGCCAGGTTTAGAGAACCACAAATTGCCCTGCCATAGATGCACCTCGCATGTGAGAGGTCCATGCAGTATACAGCTTCTTAACCTACCAATTGGATTCATTCCTCCCATATATTTGATTATTTCACCAGGGTTCATTTCAGTCTCTATAAATAATGTACAGAGAACCTATCAACAATGCACCATCCTTCCCAGATCCCTTCCTTAATAAATCTCCTGTTGTGCATTTTCTAGAATCAAGCCGCTCCCCTAATTATTTTTTATCAAATTTGTCACCACCCATCTCATTAGAAAACGACTCTGGGCAGTTTACAGGAAAGATAAATATTAATTAAAAATATAATATAACAATTAATCCTAAATAAATAGTAAATATCTTCCAAGATCATTGACGGTAGCTAGAAATTATTAGACTCGGGGACCATCATCAGGGCACCAGTCACTCCCAGGGTTGGTTAAAACTCTTCTTGCCCCATGCAAGCTGGCAGAACCAGGTCTTCAGCTCTTTCCAGAAAGCCGGGAGGGAAGGAGCCCCACTTCTGGGGGGAGAATATTCCAGAGGGTGGGGGCAACGGCAGAGATAATTTTATCTTATAATTACTAAGATTACATAATTTTAAAATGGTATCATTACCATCTAGTTCCACAAAAGGAGAACGTGTAACATTTGTTGATGCCATTTTCACACCATAAAATTCTTCTTAGATCTAGCAAAACAGAGAAACACAATAGCAAGAAGAACTGAAATAACGTTGTATTCAATCTGCAAGTAAATAATTGAATAATTAATTGTAATACAGTTGGTATCCTGAAAATTAAGTGGTTCTTATGTGTGTGTCACACACTTATATTTTACAACAAGAAACGTTGCACCAAAAATTAATTTTGGGTTTCCTTTTTCCTTATGTTTGAACGCTTACAGGTTGACTTACCTACAGTGTACGTTGAGCTAAAGTGGATGGTGGTGGCAGTGGAGAGATATTTGGCAGACAAATATAGAATCACTGCAGTTATGCGACATCACACTTTATGACTGCATTGCTAAGAGTTACTGATCCCAATTACCATCGTTAACCAAGGACTACCTATACTTTAGATTTGTTCAGTGCTGCCTTGGTGGTTTAGCAAAGGGGAAGGTGTAAGACTTGCAGAATTCCTAGAATCTAATAAAATCACTCGAAGTTGTTTCATCCACAAGTCCTGGATGTGCAGAATGCCTTTCCCCAAGACTGATTTGACCTAGCCGATTCCAGCCCTTCTGGATGAGGCCTCCATGCTGCCATAGGAGGGAGCAACCACTGTCTGGCCAGACTAATTAGCGCCTGCCCGCCTTCCAAACCCCGAAGGGGCAGATGGGCACAGTCGAGGGGTGCAACGGCTGCGGCCGCTCGATCCTCCAGCACCTGCACAGCTCAAAACAGTCCGGAAAAGGCCCTCGCTCACCTTAACCAGCAGAGCTCCCTCGGGCGATGGCAACCAGCAGCCGAGGCGTCTGCGCTCGTCCCGCTCAGGACTTCCTACGGGGAGACGGTTGAGCCCGGCTGCTGGGCACGAGGCGCGTAGGGATTGCAGCCGTTCTCGGG